GGGGGGGGGTCACAGGCTTCTAGATTTAAGCTGGTCAAAGAGCTTCCTCAGAGGAGCTCGAGCATTCGCCGCAGCCAGTCAACATGTCAAATTGCAGCTTGGTCTGGTCGCGCTCAACTTCTAGAGCGCATTTACTCAAACTGTTCGAAAAGATCCCTTTTATCCCAATCACAAGACTCAGCACTGATTGTTCCAGGATTTAGAGGGAGAAATCTTCGCCCTTGCAGCGTGACTGCGCAGACTGCAGCAGCTCCCTGAAGCCTCCCTCTATCCCTTGTCCTTGCAGGATGGGGACAGCAAGGCAGGGCGCTGCTGGGCTCAGAGGAAGGCACCGGACAACAGTGTGGCGTGCCCATTTCTGCAGGCCGCCTTTGCTATCGAAAAAGAAACGAGGGTGAAAAAAACCTCAGAAGAGATCATTATGAACGCCAGATTATCCCTAGAAACACGAACTACTGCATCGTGACAGAATAAGGTTATAGATGAGCCTATGAGCTGGTTCCCTTTTTCAAGCCTTCCTAGTGCTTCGTGCTACTACAGTAAGTCCCAGAGCAAGGCTTCACGTACTAGGTGCCATATGAACAGAAAAAAGGAGATGGCCCTAGTCTGAAGAAGAGAATGAAGCTGTAATAGCTCTTGAGAAGCTCCTAAGGGGTCCATATTGCCGAGGTACTATACTAGTCAAAATGCTTTGATATTTAAAAGCTCTATTTACCATTGTATCGCGTTCAAGCGAAAAGAACTATACTATTCAAACAAACTCCGGGCTATGAAGTAATGTATGTCTAGTTAATTTTATGTTTCTTCCCTGGAGGTGTTTATAAGAGTATTTACCAGAGCGAGAATCAGAAGAATGCTGGTAAAACTTAACAAGAATTTGAGAAGGCAGAGAGTATTATTTAGACTAAGCTATATTAGGGCTTGCAAGAAGTTAGACAACCCAGTTCCTTTCATTTCTTTCTCTGTGCTTCACGTTTTTGCATTTGATATCTTTTGGCTCCGGAAAGCCGCACATACCTGTTTGAGAACTGATTTGGAAGCTGGACAACTTCGGTGATTGCTTCGGGGTTCCGTTTCGCGATGCCGCACATGTCCAACTTGCTGTAACACTCCTCCTGCACTTCAGAGATCATTCTTTGGAAAGTGGAGCACCTCCGGATGGCAAGGAAAACCTTGGATGTAACTCCATTTGCGATGCATTTCAAGCTTTCTTTCACAAAAGCTTTTCCCTGGGGAGGTGGGGGGGGGGGGAAAAACAACTTAAATTGCAACAGAGTTCATAGAAAATAATACATTATCAGATATTCTGCTGTAGCTGGCTGCCGCTAGTTATCCTTGCTGCAATTAGACCTGCTGGAGGTCGCTTGGCAAACACGGCAGGGAACTGGACCCTCAACGCTCGTGCGCGGTTACATTCACAGCAGCGGTCAGCAGTTTTCGTTGGGATGCACGTGGTCTGGAGAGAGCAGTTAGCTCCTGTTCCCAAAAGCTTTAAGCAATGGAAGTCTTTGCATGAACAGGCCTACAAGTGCCAGCATCACAGATGGGCCAATTCTGCCCTCTGTGAGGGGGCCGAACCACTCACTGCGTCCCCGGGATTTAGCACAGCTGGTTTTCTGGATCGCGAGATGCTGCAAGTGCTTTTAAGTTTGTCTCCAGGGGTGAGAGTGCAGGGAACAAGGCGGTGTGCTCGTTTGGGAAGAAAGTACGAAGAAAAAAGAAAGTACGCAGAGCCAGAGTCCCCTGATATTATCCTATTTATTCTGCTGCGAGCGCCTGCAGCTCCAGAGAGGCTGATCTGGCCTCGCATTCCCAGGCCTGGAGACTTCCAATTCAAATCGCATGCCTGTGCCAGCTCACACAGTCAGAAGACTTACTTTGTTAGAAGAACGTTTATATTTCCTCCTGAAGAGGAAACTTAGCTCTCCGCCCCACAAAATATTCCCTGCCAAGTCCTCACACATAGCATACAGTATGTGGAAAATGTACTGTAGAAAGTATCCCTGAAGGATGCATTTGTGGCCAAAAAACCAAAACCATGGTTCACAGGAGTATCTAAGCGGCAGCAAGGGCTGTAAGAAGCTAAGGGTTAAGGCTGCACAGAGCCCACCTTCATGAGACCAGAGAAATTAAGGCTTCAATTCAGCAAGGCATTTAAACACGTGCGTTAGTGCCCCAGGACTTGAAAAAGTACTTTGCTGAACTGGGGCGTAAAAAAAGGAAGCTCTCAAAGGCAGAGCTTATACTTGTCCCGCTATGACTGCTGCTGTACCTGAGTGTCGAATTTAGCAGCGCTGTACAGGAAGGACTTGCAGATGTCGTACATGCCATCGGTGTCACACGTGGAGTTCTCCAGGCAGGCGAAGGCGCCGCAGCCCACCTGGAGGGCACTGTTCAGGCAGCGAACCACCTCGGCTGGAAAGAGAGCCACGGGCGGGCGGTTAGGCAGGGGAGGAGTGTTACAGCGGGGCTGCCCGTCTTTAGCGCGTACGCCAAGTCCTGCCCAGCTGCAGGCAGGCAAGCGGCAGCGCTCCTGCTCCTCGGGGGCTGGCGGGACAGGGCAGGAGGCACTGCTGAAGCGAGGTATTAACTTGAGTCACACAACGGATCCCGGGTAAATCCAGGAACAGAAACTCTCACCGTGAAACCTAGCTGCTCGAGTCAGCTACGTACAGATTGAGAGACAGGCGGTACCCCATGGCCTTTGGCTAGATGGAGATTTGCAGGCCTGCCTCGACCTCATTGTGACTGCCCGCTTTTACCGCGTCGTTCAGAGGTCCTTTACAGAAGCCAGAAGTAACGAAGGTGGACGCAGGAGGAGCTCCGGTCAGCGGGGCAGCCTTGGACCGCAGGAAGGGCAGAGCGGTTTGCCAGCCTCCAGCCGCGTTCAAAAATGAGACTGGACTGATGCCGATTGCCAATAAGCTCGCATGAGATTTGTAGTTACTGTGGGGAAGCCCTGCTTTTGCTGGTGTTGGAGGTATTGGGGTTGTTCCAAGAAAGGAAAAGTATCTAGAAATAAGATTTTAGTTTGCGTGTTAGTTATTAGCACTACAAAGGAGTTGAATGAGTAGCTTGGTGCTAAATACTACCATGGTACCAGCATTTGGCACGCGTAGCCAAGAAAGGTCATACTGCCGGAGATGTTCAAAGAGACGAGACTCAGCCAGAGAAAGTTAAGGTAATGGAGATGACCATGTATAATTAAAATCACTGAGGCAGTGGTTAGTCTGAACAGGAGGCTATCGTGTCATCCCGTCTTTTTTAGTGCAGATACTATGCGTTTTAACAATGAATCAGCAGTATTGCCACACTACTGCCCTGAAGTTAGCAGGGATTAACCTTTTTTGGTAAGCTGAACATCTGTCCCCTTATGTGTCTGTGCAAGGCATATTCATTACTTTTGCAGATCATGTTACGAGACATTCTTTAGGAAGAAATGCAAACCCCGTGTTTCGCAGCAAGGTACGAGGTGTGGGAAAAGTGAGGGCTTGCATTTAACCAAAGAGGACACACCTTTTTAAGAACTAAGTCGTAGCCTAAAGACGTATCTTATAACTAGGGTCTTTACAGAAAAGGAAAAAAAAAAAAAATCCTCCTCCCCCCCTCCATGCTCCGCTATTGCTTACGTGCCTGAAGGGAGAAATATTTGGTAAGATCATCCTCGTCCCAGTTCGTAACCTCACCATCGCACAAGTCATTTCCATAATTATGTTTCCACAGGTTCAAATTATAACTTTGCTTTCAGCAGACTTAGTATGCATTAAGCTTTTATTGTTTTAGGCACCGTGCAAGAGTGAGACCCCATGTTTCTATAGCAACCAAATACAAAAGGAAATTGAGCAAACACCCTAGTATAATGCTGCAGAGCCTTGCAGATCTAAAATAAGACATCTGTTAATGAGCTCCAAATTAGAGACCTAATATCTTTTCAGTATACGAGGAGACAGATTTTTGGTTTCCATTGTTGAAGACAATGTGCCCAACTTATCTAAGCATCTATAGCGCACGAAGTAGAGACATCTAGTGCTGACCTGCCAGCAATTTTTTTTTTTTTTTGTCCATTGTAAAAGCGAGTTTGCTAAATGTCACAATCGTATTTTTACGGTACCATCTAACTGATAGCAATCGGCTTTCAAAAAATAAATGCTAGCAGTGGACAGTTTCTAGGTTACTGCATTCTTCCAAGTGGCATATCTCTCTCCTCCCTCTTTGAATATACAGATGTTTGGCAGAACAATGGTTCAGTCAAATTTCTGAGGATTTTATCAACTTCCTAATAAGCAAGGAATTTGACACTAAAGTATAATTGCGACGGGAGAAGAAAGAGACACATGCAAGCAGGGCAAACAGAAAAAAGTGCACGGAACTCATTTAGGAGATGGGGGAGGAGGAGAGAGAAGGGATTACATCCTGCAAGCAGAGCACACGCTGCTTCCCTGCCCCGGCTCCCAGAACGAGGAGGTTTCTTCTCTCGCTATGCACCGCTATTCTCCTTAAATCACTACTTGGGTCTACCGGCCGCAAAGTTTAAAACCAAAAAAACAGAAGGGGAAGGGGCAGCAGAGCCGCCTGAAGCAGGTTAGGGCAGGGGGCCGGGGCTCAGCGCCCCGCTGGCGGCCGTTACCTGAGTTCTGGGCTGCGAGCCGGGGTTTCCGGGGGCTCACAGAGTCATTCTGCTCGGCTTCGTAGGACGCGGACGCACTGATCACCAGCAGCAGCAGCAAACCAGACTTTAGGAGCATTCTCTGACAAGTTTCCGCTAAGTGTGGTTTTGGGGGATTTTTGGGTTTTTTTTGGTGCGTGTGTGTGTGCGCGTCTCTTCTCTCCCACTATCGGCGCGAAGGAAGATGTGGATCCGGACGGGCGCTGGTGGCGAGCGAGCAGCGTGCGGGCTG